CCTATATCATCCTCATGAACCTTAATGAAGCTTAATGTTCAATGTTATTGTGATCAATAAAGCTCATAGATTAGATTGAACAACCCCAATTTTAATTTGCTTTCAGGGAAGAATTACAGAGGCTTGTCGGTTGCCCTATTCCAGATTCTATTCTTCAGAGGGTCTCTTCACTAGCTCAGAAGCTTTTTTCTCTACAACATAATGGTCCCGAGGCTGCAAATGGCCAGGCAATGATGACAGATGGACTTTGTGAAAGTAATCCTGAATTCGGTTTTAAAATCACTTTTCAAGCTCCGGCTCGCTTTCTTCTGGATGTGCCTCTTGAAAATGGCGTCAGTACAACTGGGGATAGTTATACTGGCTCTAGCATATTTCGTGAGAAACATGACTATTACGTGGAAGCTACACATCATTTGAACGCTGCCCGAGAGGTTGTGAATTTAAGATGGCTGAAAGATGCTTGTGATCTGATAGTTGAAGGGGGTGGTTCATTACTTACTGGTGATGAACTTGCAATGGCCTTGTGTCGGGTGCTCATGTCTAACAAAGCTGGTGATGAGGTGCATATCGTAATCTTTAGCATTTCTTTCGGTTTTGGACATGCCATTGAACCTTACTTAAATCTTTGTCATCAGATAGCAGGTGATCTTTTGGCACTCGTTGGGGATGGTGCCGTTGAAACAGTACATAATCTTTTATCGGTAAGAAAACAAATAAAATTTCATCTCTTAATTTCTAACTTGTTTTCCTGTATATATTAGCCATTGTCACCTTGTAGTTGCACTATGCATGGCTACCTGTACTGTTGACTGTTATTGAACAATAACCATGTCTAGAACCTAGAATCTTTATTATTCTTTTTGTTCAGTAGTGAAGCTGGCGAGGCTAGATTTTTATACAACTTTACAAATAAGGGAATTAACAGTATGTGTCCATTTGTTACTTTCCTATGATTCTTAGCAGCTATCTTCTCTTTCTCAGAAACCTTGGTTCAGTTTGCAGTTGGAGTGGCCACTGATACGAAACTTTGTTGGTTTTCAATTGTAAAAGATTTAACATATTGATAGAAACCTGTTTTGCTCTGGAATGTCGATCATTATCTGCTGTGTATATTACTTCCCGCTGCACTGATGAGAACCATCCAGCAGCAAAACTAACACCAATAATATTCCATTTGCAGCATCGAAAAGAACTCGTTGATGCTATTAGTCATGGGCTACATATGCTTAAATCTGAGAAATCATCATCCAGCAGTCAATCGAGGATGCCTAGCTACGGAACTCAGGTATTCTGATACCTTATGCAGTGACCAAGGTCGAAATTCGTTTTACATGTTTTTTCATTCATTCTTCTTTCAGGTTACTATACAGACAGAATCTGAGCGCCAACTGGATAAACTTCGGCGCAAGGAGGAAAAACGAAATAAGCGTGGGGCGGATTATGGGAGCGCATATGATATGGCTACTGATAGTTTTTCTTCTTTGCTATTAGCCAGTGAGAAAAGACAACCGTTTGATGATCTGATTGGTACTGGTGAAGGGTTAAGATCGTGTGCCCTTCCCCAAGGATCCACAAGGTTATGTGAAAAAGGTTATGAGGAAGTCAGCATTCCACCCACTCCGACGGCACCTATGACGCCAGATGAGAAGCTGGTACTTGCATTATCTTTCTGCACTTTTTGTTCTTATAATTGAGTGTTCCATTCCCAAATCAGAACTTTACTCTGAATTGCATCAGTTGTATCTTTATTTGTGTTTTAGTTTTGTTTTTCGTTTTCTTTTTCATGCTGACTGGTACACTAGCAAGGCATGTGATCGCAAGGGTGGGGATGGGGAGTTTGGAGTGCTTGCAGGATGACCATAATATTCCATGTTCATGCTGTAAAATCTCTCTCTAGTTTCTGCGTGGTGTTATGTTGACATAATTGTCATTAATGTTATATAAGGACATCAGCCACGAAAATATTCTATGGTCAAATTTTTATGATTGGAAGCATTTCACCATAGTCTGATCATCCTTGACTCCAGAGGGGCAATAACATGCCGTGCTTGATAAAATATCATTTCTTGTCTTGAGAATTGAGCTCATGATAGATATTTATGGATTTCTTGGACCTTATTCATAAACCATACCAAGATAAATCTCGAAAAGCATAATTCTTTTTAATTCATTTAAAATTATTGACCATCACTTGATAGAAAGGAACATGCTTGTATATGCTTTTTATTTTCATTTCTTTTGTACCTGTTACTATATTTCTGTTGCCTGATTTTACCCTTTTGCACTTCATAAGGTTTCCTTGCTGCATGGAGCTTAATTTTGTCTAACTCAGTTCTTGCTAATTTTGACAGATTGAAATAAAAGACTTAGACGATTTTGCCCAAACTGCTTTTCACGGATACAAGTCTCTTAACCGGATTCAGAGTCGTATTTTTCAGACGACTTACCACTCAAATGAGAACATTCTAGTAATGTTTATTCTAAAATATGGCACTTGAGATCACCTTCTTTTAATTCTTGATTCACTGTTTGGTTTCTAGCTAATAAAAGGTTTAAACTTTCAATTATTAGTTTGCTCTATATACTTGCAGGTTTGTGCTCCAACAGGTGCTGGAAAGACTAATATTGCCATGATTTCTGTTCTTCATGAGGTATTTTCCAAAAGAACTAAAGTTTGATCTGGATCCTTTCTGCTGCCACGTTTTCTTTTTTCTTAAACTTTATAATTATCTATTGGCTTTATTTTGCCCTTCCATGGTTTTGCTTTATCAAGATAACCAAGCTTTATCTTGCAGATTAAACAGCACTTCAGGGATGGAATTTTGCATAAGGATGAATTTAAAATAGTTTATGTTGCTCCAATGAAGGTATATTTGGAAATGATCATTACATTTTAGATCAATTAAACAGTATTCTGATATATGAACTACAGGCGTTAGCAGCGGAGGTGACTTCGACATTCAGTCATCGGTTGTCTCCCTTAAATCTTGCTGTGAAAGAACTCACCGGTGACATGCAGCTTTCTAGAAATGAGCTTGAGGAAACCCAGGTCTGTGTAAGCTGAAATGTTGCTTTTGTGGTAAATTACTGTCTTGGCTCATATCTTTTACTTTGTTATTTAACAGATGATAGTGACCACTCCTGAAAAATGGGACGTGATTACTCGAAAAAGCAGTGATATGTCATTGTCAATGTTAGTTAAACTCTTAATTATTGATGAAGTGCACCTGCTGAATGACGACAGAGGTGCTGTGATTGAAGCTCTAGTTGCTCGGACTCTTCGACAAGTACGTTAATTAAAGAAGTAGAATTACAGTCCTAATTCTACTTCTTTAGCATTAGGGTGCAAACTGGTTTATACTTGTACATAGTTTCTTTTCACACATGATCCTCCTTCAAACTTGAACCTTCTATTAAAGTACTCGACTCTATTTCCAATGATTCAGAAAAGGCATATCTAATATTCTCATTATATTAGGAATGATTTTGTGGTGGAGATGTTGTTCCATCAGAATTTCTCATCCTTTTTTTAAGGTGTTTTTATTTATAGAATTTAATTCATGTCTGTCTTGCTTTTGTTTGTCTCTGAATCCTTGAGATTGATAATTTCATTACTGCAGCAGGTATATTGTGTGCCATTCAAAGAGTAAAAACGAACCAAATGAAAGTATTGATCGTTTATAACTGCTTGAATAGCTCCCTTCCGATGTTCTTCTTAGTATTGCATACAAATCAAACTATTAGTATCGCATACAAATCAAACTATTAGTATCTATGTGGGACACTTGGTTATTTATTAATAGCTGCTTAACTGTAATACATACTATACACATGCTTCTTTTCTTATATGCTATCTGACATTCACCTAAGCTGATTTTTGTAGTCTACTAAATTTCTTTGCAAATTATGATGCGCCATAGTTGGAGCTATATTTTTTAAATCCGTGGCAAACAAGTAGCCAGACTATTTTCTCCAGTCGGTTTTAGTGTTTATGTCATTCTAAGTCGTTCAATGTTTTTGTTAATTGTATGTTTCTTTTTACAGGTAGAGTCGACACAGTCCATGATTCGGATTGTTGGCTTATCTGCTACGCTTCCAAATTATAAAGAGGTTTCCTGATAATAAACATGACATATTGACACGAAAATTTGATTTTCATCTTGGAAGCATGTCACAAGTTTATTTGTAATTCATCAGGTTGCTCAATTTTTGAGGGTGAATCTGGCAACTGGTCTATTCTTCTTTGATTCCAGTTATCGACCAGTTCCTCTAGCACAACAGTATATTGGGATTACAGAGAAGGATTTTTCAAGAAAGATGACTTTATTCAACGATATATGCTATAAGAAGGTTTTTATTGTGTTTTCTGTGTTACACTATTTCATATCTATGATTATTTGAAATTGAATGTTTCTGAAAATTGATATCGCTATTCATATCAGGTTGTTAATTCATTGAAGCAAGGACATCAGGCCATGGTTTTTGTTCATTCACGCAAGGACACAGGAAAAACTGCTAGGATGTTGGTAATGTTTCGTTCTTGTGGAACTTCCATACGGAATCAGATATCAAGTACCTTTTTCTTGACTTTCTTCATGCACACTCATGAGTTTTAGTTTTTTTTCTTGCCTAAGACGGCTTCATTGTTTGTGTCAATAAAGCAGACATCTCAAAGATCGCTTCCACCTGACAAATTGTGTTTTCCCCTTTTGACTTCTGCCTTTAGTTTGACTCACAGTCGTAATGAATATTAGCTTGAGGACCCCTCTAATTATTTCATGCTACACTAAAGTGACAAGTTTCCCAGAAGTTCTGTATAAGGAGCATATTTACAGTTTCAAGGAGCATTTGGAGGCTTTTAATCACTAATGTATCATTCTCTTCAATCCAGGAACGCAGAAAGAATTTTAGTACAGACTCGCAGATGGGTCATGAGAATACATGGTACTAGGTTATCAGTTATATACGAAGTTTGTAATTTGTGGACTTCTTCTTCCTTGAGAACATCAATGATAACTTCCATCTATTCAATAACTTGTTATGTTACTCATTTTCATTGTCATGGATCTGACTATCTCAGAATTTGTATGCAACATGATGGTTGGAAGACAGAGACCTATCTGGTGCCTTCTAAGCTGCATTTCATATTATCATGTTCCTTAAATTGTTTGGCAAGCATGTATTAATTTAGGTTGATTTATCTACGTATTGCTCTACCATTTCTTGGGAATTTCATGCACTAGGTAGCTTTAAAATAGTCCAATTTTCAAAATACAATGCCAGAACCCAAATCCTGAACTTAGCTTCTATCACTGTTCCCTCTCTTCTGAATATATTATTCAGAATAAAAAGATGGAAGAGAATCCTACAAAATGCTCACCTTCTGAACTTTTGGTTAAGAATAATTATATTTTCCAGTTACTATGCCCTATTAAATTTAGCTAATATGAAATTCTATCTAATATTCATCGTCCAATCTTTCTCTGTAATTCAAATACTCTTTATTACACATCAAACTGTGTGGTTAGTATTCTTCTAGATTACTCCTTTTGCGTAAAACATTGAGTGCAAACATATATTGTAGAATGCCAAATACATTGCTATGACTGATGTTGGTTGGCTAGAAGCGGAGCCCACAATGTTCAAAATTGCTATACACATATCAGAGCACATATTGTGATATCCAATTAGTTTGGACAACTCATGCACTAAATATCTTTTATGATATACTTATTCGAGTTCATCCATCATTAGACCATTCAACACTTAAAGAACATTCACGAGCTCACATAAGAAATATATTCACATTTTGTAATTTTGGGATTGCTTTGATGTGCTTTCTGTGGATCTCTTGCTGATGCAGCACGAACTAGCTACAAAATATGAGGAGCTGGAGTTTTTTATTAACGACAAAGATCCTCAATTTTCTTTGGTTAAGGTATAGCTTTCATCCATTTCTTTTTTTGGGTCTATATTCACTTTTAATGTTAATTTACATACATTGATTTGACCTGTTTTACATGTTGCAGATGGAAGTTAGTAAGTCTAGAAACAAGGAGCTTGTGGAGTTATTTGATTATGGAATTGGCATTCATCATGCTGGGATGCTCCGTGCTGATCGAGGCCTGACCGAGCGCCTATTCTCTCGCGGCCTTTTGAAAGTTGACATCTTTATATCTAAACACATTAATCTTTATGTTGATTTTCTTTTCACTGATGTAAAGATCACTTTTTTTTAGGTCCTTGTGTGTACTGCAACATTGGCGTGGGGAGTGAATCTCCCTGCTCACACGGTTATCATCAAGGTATGTTACTTGATCTATGTTGCTTTCTGATCTTTATTATTAATACGATTTATTGTGCGAAATTAGAAATAGTCCCACCTAATGCCCTCAAATTTTGAACCAAATACCTCACTATTTTATTATATAAAGGATAGTACCCACTCCAAAGTCCAAACATGACCTTAGTATTTAATTTATTAAAGTGGTACATGTCTTTTGAATCACAAAATACTAGTCTTTTTCTGCACTTCAGTGGCAATCAAGGTCTGGCGGTGCTTAAGCATGATAAGCAAGCATTCTCTTGGAAGGGATGCTCATATATTGCCATTTTTCCTCGGAAGTTCTTTTCTTTTGTCATTTGGATTTCTTGACTATAGCTTTACATTTAGTAATTTAATCATGCCTTGGAACCCTTGCCATGTATCGTCAGATTTAATTTATATACATTATATTCCTCTAAAAACTAGATGTTACTTAATGAAAACCTAAGTTACATGAAAACGGGTAGGGGTACTGGGTGCGGGTATGGGTACGGGACACGGCAAATTTGTGAAATATAGGGTACATGGACACAACTACATTTATATATTGAGATTAATAATTTACATGAGATCCATTATTATTTTTTGAATTATGTGCTATTTAAATTTAAATTTCTATCATATTTTAAGTTTCCTTTATTATGTTGATTGTTATACATTGGAAAATGCTCCTTTTTTAAGTAGACACTCAAACCACTCTTTTAAATCATAGTTTTTTTTAACTTGGATATGATTTTAAACAACCGGATCCATGTCTAACGAGCAAGGTTTTAAATGTCGAATGTCGGGTTCATATCGGATGGCTAAAATTCATATCGGATAACGAAAATCAGGATATGTCGGGGGGACATGAAAAAAATATCGGATTGTCATATCGGATGGTGTGCATATGTGTAATATAAATATCATAAATAAAATCTAAACATACTTAAAAAATTCTATTGTCTAAATATATAAAAAAGTGAATAACTTATGATGCTTAGGGTTGATGGTGAAGGAAAAAATGTGAGAAAAGAGGACTCCGATACTAGCGGTTAAAAAAAAGAAGATCGCTCGATATTGATGTTGAAGGAATAGCTCGGAGAAGAGACCGATGAGATGTTGAAGGAGAGAGAGAAGATGAGCGATGGATATTACTTCGGTCTTTTTTCCATTTTCCTTAACTTATCGGTTTTTGTCTTTGGAAGTAATATTAAATATAATCAAAATAATAATAAAATCAGCCAAATTTTCAGACTGAAAAATTAGCTGACATAACTGATATATCACCCGACATATCTGCCTGATATATCCGACATGTCGCCTGATATATCCGACATGACATGAACTGTAAAAACACAATATGCATTGAAAAGATCCATATTGTATCGGTTGGCCCCTAAATCCGACATGTCGGCCGACATTTAAAACACTGCTAACGAGTTTCAAGAAATGGACATGAAGTGTAGGATATATGTCCAAGTGTACAAGTATTTTAAATCAAAACATATATCATATAATTGAGTAAATGCCTGGGTAAATGTATGCATATATCCTAGGAGTGTCCATGAAGTTTGGGTACAGATAAGTGTTGGGTATGTGTCAGGTACGGGTTCAGCTTCATGATAGAAGTACCCGGGTAACATAGACGAAAACATAAAATTGAAAATATAAATATGGGACAAAAAGAGCAAGGAGCATGGATACTTAAATTTCATATGAGTAGCTGCTAATGTGTGCTCCAGTTCGCCTGATACGAATATTTGATTTTATCTGATTTAACTCTTCCATATATGCATATAACTGTGATCATCTCTCTCTTCTTTTCCCTGTTCTGTATTTCATATCATTGAGTCTATGCAATTACCACAGGGCACCCAACTATATGATCCAAAGGCTGGTGGATGGAAGGATCTTGGTATGCTTGATGTTATGCAGGTAAAATTAATTTGACCAAAGCAATCTTCTTAGAGTTCCTTGGAAATGATTTGTTGATCAGTTTTTGTGGTCTTCCTTTCTATTGCTTTTATTATAGATATTTGGTCGTGCTGGAAGACCCCAGTTTGACAAAAGTGGTGAAGGAATAATTATTACAACTCATGACAAATTAGCATTTTATTTAAGACTTCTGACGAGTCAACTCCCAATAGAAAGCCAGGTAAATTTTCATGCTTAGTTCTGTCATTGATTTGTAATTACGTTAACTGGGACTTATTTGTCTCACTGGTTTTTCAATTATTTGAACCTGACATCTATAATATGCTAGTCGTTGGTGTCACAGTTTTAACCATTTACTTTATCTTTTCTTCTGTGCATGTATATTTTTCACGTGTTATATTTAAAATCATGAATGCCATTCATGATGATTATTTTGATTTCAACAATTATCATTCTTCCAATAAATTCTTAAAGGTAGGGTGGCCATTCTGTCATGTTATCTAAACAGAAGAGTGCATGGTCGAATTAACACGTATCATGGGATTGTGAAGATATTTTTTGTTAGAAAACTTCTGCAGTCTGTTAACTTTTATCCTTAACCAGTATACGCCTTACGTCAAAGATAAGTTTTCTTTTTTCTTCACATTCCTTTTCTCTATTTAACTAATTTCAAGAAGATTCCATCTCAGTATGATATCCTTTGTTCTTTATTATTCAGATTTGTACGTATTATTCACTTTCATACTTCATTTGGTATAAATTCTGAGATTTAATTTTGTATTCGGTTCTTTTGTCTGAAAAGCTTAGTTATTTTTTTTAAATTTAAGAAGTTTCTCTTATATGCGTCATACATGTCTTTAAATTAAAATTTTCTTCTCCTGATGATCCTTGCATGTTTTATTATTATGTGCAGTTCGTTACCTCAATGAAAGACAACTTGAATGCTGAGGTGGCCTTAGGAACAGTAACAAATGTCAAGGAAGCTTGTGCATGGATCGGATATACTTATCTTTTTATAAGGATGAAGACGAATCCTTTGGTTTATGGAATTTCATGGGATGAGGTATTTCATTAATTTTTTAGTCATTTGTATTCTCTAGACTGCAAATTTGGCTGGGCCTTTGCACTCGAGGTTCTTGTTTTCTTTGGCACTATGTTGCATGCCTTGATTTATTATATTTTTTTCTTCTGCTAGTCTTTTGGAATATGTTTGGTGTTTTTGATCTTACATTGACTTTTGGTTTGGGTCATCTTTTCCAGTACATTATAACATGGAAACTCCTGGTTGGTCTGTGCTGTAAAGCTCAATTTGGGACCTGAAGATGCATACTTCAGCTTACTAGGCTTATAATAGTCTACGTCATTCTGCATTTTTGTACTCTTGTCTATTCCATTACTCAAATAGTCCAATTACTTAAAGATTGCATGTATTTGAAAAGACTATGCCAAATTATTTATATCTTTCGCCAAACGAGGATTACTTCGTCTTACCTAGATAGGTTGTTCTTCTTCTCTCTCAGTATATACTTTTTCCCATTTACTTTTGGTTTGATTTCATGGTAAAGGTGGACTTGAGGTTGATATAAGCCGTGTTTATGACCTGGCAGGTTAAATACTCAAGTACTTGTAGTTTTCTCTCTTCTATTTACAAACTCCTTATTTCGTAAATGTAAAATCCTCATGGCTTTTTACTTGTTTTAAACAATTTTTTGTTAGTGTCTTGTTAACCCTCATTCCTTTTGTTTCTTATATCAAGTATTATTTAGTGGAAATGTCCTTTTTTTTGCCTCCTTGTTTCCCCAAGTATATTTCTTTGGTTCCTGTTGTCTTCATTGTTTTACATTTCTATTATTTTCTAAATTTTATATCATGAAGTCTAACTTAATCATGTCTGTAGTTTTTCATTCTTTTGAACAATGATTTAAAACAATGGTGTTAGGACTTCATAGACTGCAGAGATTTTACAGTGTTCAAGAGAGGCCACAGTTCTATGGATAGCTTGTCTATAACACACTATGATATTTGTGGGAACCTTTAAGATAAAAACTTGATTTGTGATTGCGAGATTCATAGGCAATAGTTTTATGTTAGTGCAATGACGAACCTTGTTAATGCTCAGCACTGTTGAATATGAGAATATATAATCCAGTAAAATTATCCGTAAGGATTCCATTCTTTTTCTTTCATTGCCTATTTTCTGCAGTACTTGAATGACTCCTTTTTTGTTCCTTTAAGGTTATTGCAGATCCTAGTTTACTCTCAAAGCAAAGATCTTTTATAGTTGATGCTGCACGTGCTCTTGACAAAGCAAAGATGATGCGGTTCGATGAGAAAAGTGGCAATTTCTACTGCACTGAGCTGGGCCGTATAGCGAGCCATTTTTACCTTCAATACTCTAGTGTTGAGACATATAATGAAATGCTAAGACGGCATATGAATGACAGCGAAGTGAGTGAAGATAATCTTCTTCTAGTTCATGCAAGTTTATGTATGTTTTTTTATCATTACACCGTTGCATTCTGTCACAGGTAATTAACATGGTTGCACATTCTTCTGAATTTGAAAATATTATTGTTCGAGATGAAGAGGTGGACGAGCTAGAAGCTTTGATAAAAAAGTTTTGCCCGTTAGAAGTGAAGGGTGGACCCACTGATAAGTATTGGAAAATTTCAATCCTCATTCAGGTATATGCTTGATCTTTATTTACTTCTTCTTTTGAGCTTTTTTGTCCTGTTTTGCGGGGAAAGCGTAAGAAGTAAGAGTCAATGATGAAATGGTCGATTTCTACTGTTTCAGGTTTACATATCTCGAGGTTCAATAGATAGTTTCTCTTTGATTTCTGATGCTGCATATATTAGTGCAAGCTTGGCTCGCATCGTGCGTGCTTTATTTGAAATCTGCTTGCGCAGAGGGTGGTGTGAAATGTCAGCTTTTATGCTGGAATATTGTAAAGCTGTAGATAAACAGATCTGGCCACATCAGCATCCTCTCAGGCAGTTTGATAGGGATATTTCTGCTGAGGTTTGTCCAGAATCAATAAAAGTATTTTCTTAGTTGCATTACCCTGTTACATTGAGGACCATGAATATGCTAAAATTAACATGACAGATTCTGAGAAAACTTGAGGAACGAGAAGCTGACTTAGATCATCTTTTTGAGATGGAGGAGAAAGAAATTGGAGCGCTAATTCGGTTCGCCCCTGGAGGGAAGGTGGATCAATCATATTTGTAACAGTTCTTCTCAAGTTTTTTATTGACTATTAGCTGGCTTTGCTTATTGATCTCATTGCTTCTATCTTGGAAGTTGGTCAAACAATACTTGGAATGTTTCCCGAGCATCAACTTATCTGCAACCGTGAGTCCAATTACGAGAACCGTCCTCAAGGTATGTTATATTTCAAGCTATCACCAAAATTTAAAGGTTTCAAACTTCAATTATCTACTGTCTGTGTATATTTATCGACTGACATCAGTATTATTATTTCATATCTAGGTTGATTTGCTTATAACTCCCTACTTTCGTTGGAAAGATCGCTTCCACGGCACTACTCAACGTTGGTGGATACTTGTTGAGGTTGTAATATTCAATTGACTTGGTTATCTTCAGCACACTTTTATAACGTGAATTATTGAGCTTAAACCAAAAACGTCATGTTGGTTGTCTTATTTCTTTTATTTGTTTAATGTTCTATGTCTTTCTTCAAATTTTTTGTCAGTGTAATCTATTTAATTGCAAAGTTAAGGACATAACCAGATGAGTATGCAGAAGTTGATCAACCTATGATGGTTTTGGCTCGAGCTAATGTGAAACATAGCCTGGGAAGTGTAATTCATAACTTGAAAAGCAAAACAGAAGAAGAGAGAATGTGTCAAGAGTTTTTATTTTCTTTACATTTGTTGGGACCTATGTTAGTACTTCTGTCTGGACATGTACCCGACCTGTACCTGCACCTGTAGCCGCATCCGCACCTGCGTACCTGCACCCAAACTTCCTACACACTTCTTCAACATATGCATAGTTTTCGGGTGTGTACTCAATTATATGATACATGTTTTAATTTAAAATACTCTTCATACACTTATAGTCGTATATCCTACCATTCACATCTACTTCTTGTAAACCATTGCGCATGGTTCAAGTTTGTGTCAACTGATACCAATTATGAACTCTGATTTAAAGGGCTACTTGGATATCAAGTTAAAAAACAAGCTGTTTTTCAATTTATAATCTACATAAATAGAAAGAAAAAAGTTATAGGAAATTTAATTCTCATAACATGTAAGTTATTAATTTTAATAGATATTAATATACATATACATACATATATATATCTGTGCCCTCGTGTCGTACCTTTTACAAATTTTCCGTGTCTCATGCAACTTAGTTCGGGACTTTATGGGGTTTTCCATCACTTCTGCCTGCTGCTGGACTTGTCATAATACGGAAATGAAGAGGCTACCAATATTATCGATCATGTGTAATGTTGCTGTTTCTCCTTCTGCCTCTCTTCCCATGCCGACAAAATTTAAGGCCTTGAGTAACTTGAAAGATTGAGGTTAAACAATATCTACAACCATCTGATACTAACTTAGTGGAAGCATATTGGATTTTCTAGTGGTTATAAACTCTCGTAGGTGTGGGTCTAATCTGGGTCAAAAACATGTGTATATTTTGGTTATATGTATGTTTAGCATTTAAGCACACCTGAGTGTCACTATTTGCAAACTGAATAGGCATACTTAATATCTGGCATTAGCAAACTGAATAGGCATACTTAATATCTGGCATTAGCAAACTGAATAGGCATACTTAATATCTGGCAATAAGTCCTAAATATTCATTTACATGTTTGTCAAGTATGGTTTCAGATTGATCATTACTTAGTATTTATTTGAATGGTCAAACAGTTAGTTTGAATTTCATGTACTGCTAAGTTGCTTATAATTTATATAGTCAGAAGATTTGACTTCTAAGTTCTTGTTAATAAATTTAACTTCTGATTACTTGCGCATAATGGATTTAGATTCTCCCTTTTGCGGCTAGGCAGTGGATGATCAACTTATTTAATAAAAATCATCTAATGAACAAATTTGATTTGTCTGCAATAAAAGTGTGAATAGCTGCAGTTATAAAATGTAGGATGCGTTAGAATATCATTATTAGTAATTTAGTAGTAGTTTATGGCTTGACTCTTTTACTGTGTTGATAATCAAGATTGATTGTCTTGTATCATCCCTAGACCATAGCACTTGTAAATCTTTGATTATAGCACATGTGGCTTGATTATAACACGCGTGCTCGACAGTTGACTGTATTGGCTATATAAGCTCGTGTTCAGTGTATGGAATGAGATCATCTAATGCAACATTTTCCACTTCTAAGAGGATGGTATTCGTGTTCAAGATTAGTAATACCATATATATTGACAATTGTGATTGAACATGTGGATTCTCTGTTATTAATACGGAGGCGAGAGGATCGAAATCCATATAATGTTACCTAAGCGTCATTATAGAAAGGGAAAATGCTTCTACCCCTACGCTCCCTCTATTTGGTTCCCTAAATTTAGTCAAAAGCCTCATTATATAAGCTTATGTTCACTGTATGGAATGAGATCATCTAATGCAACATTTTCTACTTCCAACAGGATGATATTCATGTGCAAGATTAGTAATACCATATATATTGACAATTGTGATTGGACATGTGGATTCTTTGTTATTAATACAGAGGAGAGAAGATCAAATTCCGTATAATGTTAACCTAGAGCATCATTATAGAAAGGGAAAATGCTTCTACCCCTATACTCCCTCGATTTGTTCCCCCAAATTTAGTCAAAAGTTAAAAGCCTCTTACATTCTTAAGCGATTAGATCTAGTTCAGAATGGAGAGGATCGGAATCCATGTAATGATAACAGAGAACATTATTATAGAAAGGGAAAAATGCTTATATACCTTGAAGATTAAAGCCTCCTACATTCTTAAGCCTACTGGATTTAACTAGTTATCCAACACTGGCAAACCAGCATATCTGGGTATAGTAACAAGAAGGTAAATCTCTACTGTGCCTCCTTGAAAAGTTATTTACCTAGTCAGTGTGGTCACTGTTTATGTCGTACCAGCCTTTTGTGCTAGATTTTGGTGTAGACTCTTCTTCTCTTTTCTTTCTTTTCCCCCTTTTTTTCTTCTAAGATAAACATGGAAACTGCATACACATACCTGATTGTTGTTTGCTACTCTGTGATTGTTAACACTTTTCCTATTTTGAAGCAGGATTCTGAGAATGACCACATTTACCATTCGGAGCTCTTCACTTTGACTAAGAGGATGGCAAAGGGGGAACCACAGAAGATTTCATTTACCATACCCATATTTGAGCCGCATCCAGCACAGTATTATATCCGTGCTGTTTCAGACTCGTGGTTACGTTCAGAGTCACTTTACACGATTTCTTTTCGTAATTTAACGTTGCCTCAGGTTTGGATTTGGATTGTCTGATGTATTCAATAAATTTTCATGCTTCTGAATTAGTGGTTCATGATTTTTGTCATGCGCTAAACTTCTCTTTTTTGCAGACCCAAATTTCACACACGGAGCTTCTAGATTTGAAACCCCTTCCTGTGAGTTCTCTTGGCAATGAAGCTTACGAAAATCTTTACAGGTTTTCGCATTTCAATCCAATCCAAACACAGGTTTTTTCTGTTTCCAGTTACTCTTTTCTAGATTTCCTTATTTACTTCATTTCTTTTGTCTGTTTATGAATTGAGCACCCACTTTGCAGGCATTTCATGTCCTATACCACTCAGACAGCAATGTTCTTCTAGGAGCTCCTACAGGGAGTGGAAAAACAATATCTGCGGAGCTGGCAATGTTTCGTTTGTTCAACACTCAACCTGATATGAAGGTCAGTTTGATTTTGGGATTTGTGTTTCTCATAATTCACTGCTTAAAATGACATCTTCTTATAGGTGATATACATCGCACCTCTCAAGGCTATCGTTCGAGAAAGAATGAATGATTGGAGGAAGCGACTAGTTTCTCAACTTGGAAAAAGAATGGTATGTTTACATACTTGGAACAAAAATGCTTAACTCTGCGCTAATGGTGAATAATTATATCAGGTAGAAATGACTGGGGATTTCACTCCAGATCTTATGGCACTGTTGTCAGCTGACATCATAATTTCGACTCCTGAGAAGTGGGATGGCATCAGCCGCAGTTGGCACAGTAGAAGCTATGTGATGAAGGTGAGTAGGTTTCTTGCCTCTTAAAAGCTCTGCTGCTCTATGAGGATTTTGTGTCGGACTGAACTGTCTAACTGATGTAATTCTGTTTAATTCTCACTAACATGTTCTTCAAACTAATAGGTTGGACTCATGATATTGGATGAAATTCATTTACTGGGGGCTGATCGAGGACCCATTCTTGAGGTAACCTGTTTGGAACTTCAAATATGCGCTTGGTGAAATCTGCAACACCATAATAGACTGCATATTCTTCAATCTGCAAAAATATAAAGTTACAGTGACTCTGTGCTCTTGCTGTTCCGAATTGAAGAGTTTTTTTTATTTGATAACGTGGCTGATATTATCATATTATTATGTTTTGCTTTGGATGCCATACTGGAAGTTAGTCACATTTTCCTTCATTATAGCTCACGAAGTTTTGTTATATGTTTCTAGATGCAAGAAATCATTTCCCGGAGTTCTAAAAAATGGCAACAAGCCCCCCTTCGCTTAAGCATTTCCGCCCTTAGCCGCTTGCACATTGAAAAAGCCTGCTTAAATGAAGATATGACGTGAGAAATGGCTTAAAAAAAGCCTCTAAACCCAAAACTGGCTCTAGAGCGGCCATCGAAAGCTTTTCCTTTGATAATATACATTAAGTAATTAGCTTGTTGGCTAGTTGATATACAGAGTTCTCTACATGTTAGTTTATCACATTACAATCTGTATAGTATTTTGTTAATATTGCGAGATTGAAACTAAGTATTGTTACACATCTAATTCATCCTTAGAATCTCTACAAACATCACATATGCATTTGTAGAATTTTTTTTCCTCTAATTTTTTGCTTGTTTTATAATTTTCGTATGTTTTCCGTGATTTTCTCTCTCTTTTTTTTTGATATTTTCTTCCCAATTTGAAAATTAAAAAACTTGACTTAGCCTTTTTTTTCCCTCCCAAGTTCTGCTTAAACCCAAAAAGCCTAAGTGGCACCTTAACGCTTCCCTCCGCTTTCCGCTTTCTTCAACCTTGTCACTTATAAAAGCATCAGGTGAGATTATACATTTTGATTGGTTGTTTTTGGAAAATAAAATTATCAGTTTATATCTCTGTTCAACCCAGTACAACCTTCAAGCCTTGGCAATTCTTTATGGAACCTACAAGCTCTGCTTTGTTCATCATCTATTACTGTAGGATAACATAATAGAATTGGACTATTGCCTTGTCAAATATGATGTTTGATAACTTGCCTTCTTCACTCATATTAACTTCAGTTGTCATTTTACCTTTGTTAATGTACACATGCTACTATACCTAATATGAACAGTTGAATGGTAAAAAGTGCAATTTTGATAGGTTTATGGCTTGTGAATTATAGATTCTTCCATCATTGCTCACTTTGGCATAGTATAAAACCACATCTTTCAGTTGCATGATCTTTCTCAATCAAGGTTAAATATGTTGATTGAGATTTATTGGCTATCGAGCATTCTGCCATTAGGGGATACTTTAAATATGATTTATGTTATCTTATACAGATGTGAACAAATTAACTTTCCTTTGCATTTTGGAATATTTCTTCATATTCTGACATTATACAGTATTATGGTTTCAGGTTATTGTTTCTAGGATGAGATACATATCATCACAAACTGAACGCTCAATACGTTTTATAGGTCTATCAACAGCATTAGCAAATGCACGGTTAGTTAGCTAGAAAAGTGTTTTGCTTTTGCTTTCCTAATTTGTGATAGCATTATGTTTGATATTGCTTGTTACTTGTGAGTAACATTTCTTTTGCGGGTCTTTTTGCACATGAGGATACTAGAAAAAATATTGTGAATTTTCTTCAGCCATATACTATAAGCACGTTATTGATTATTCTTCATCTATCTTGCATTGCCTAAGACAGTAAGTTTTATTTTATCTATTACATCCACTAACCTTCATGTGCCCTGTTTTCTACTGGTAGGCAATATTTGAGAAGCATAGGTTTCAAATAACCATAATCTTGCTTATCAGATCTTATCAAAACTATATAGTGTTGGCCAAGTTATTAACATAGATTAAAGAAAGAATCATTTAGAAGAGCTACTTTTCTGTCTGGTAAAATTAATGATTGCTTATTTACCCATTAATACGCCTTTATGGGCAAGTGTACGTGCATTAATATTGTTTATTTCAATACTTTAAAAAAGTGCTCTTTGTATCCATATGGATGAAACATTCTATAATGTTACTAATGCTTTTTGTTGTTGTTGTTGTTATGGGATTGGGAAATGGATTTCTTGCTTGAAGATAGCTGGAGAAACTATGGTTTCTGTTCTTAAGTTCTAAAACTTAAATTGGAAACCCAAGTTTTAACATGTTAAAATAAGTCTACTGATAAATAGTGAGTAGTATAAAGAATTCAATAGGAAGGGTTACTGTTTTTATATTAATAGCCTTGTTTAAACTATGAACCACATTTGTAATGAACTTTATGCAGTGAAGTATAAGCGTTACGATCTCTTGTTGCATAAAGTAACTTCTCATGCTTTTGGACGTTTCCTAATAAAGTGTGAAAGTCCCTTAGGGGCCCAAATTCAATCATCAATGCAGTGAAGATTAGAGTTAATATAGGGACGAAGGGAACTTTGTCACGCCTCGGGCCCACGGGGCCCGTTGGCGCGTGCAAGCCGTAGGTCCACGGAGAGCAACTCGTGGGTTGGCTAAATCTGCTTTGCCAAAATGCTAGCACTAGTTGTTATTGGGCCTTGGGCTTTTCTCTATTTAATCCACTAACAGTTCTTCACACTTAAAGTGGGGTGTCACAAACTTGATAGTCATGAGCGAGATAGCTGAGATTGCACATCATGATGGTTGATCACCTTTGCTTTCTTGATGACATTGTGCTGGCATTGAATGAAAATGTTGTTTCCTAGGAATTTCAAATTTTAGATTTCTGATTTGGCGTATCATTATTACTAGATTCATGTTCATTGTTTGCTTTTGTCCATCGATGGGTCAAGAATCGAGATTAAGGTTGTCCAAAAAGCCTGCGGCTCAGAACGCGGACCGATTTTTTCTGGACCCAGAAAAAGCCTAGAAAACCGGGCTCGGGTCCAGGTACGTTCATCGTTGCCTGGTCCTGACGTGGCCCAGCTCGGTATGTTGTGGCACCGGCTCCGGGCTACCCAAACGTGGTCCTCCCCAGTGAGCACGGTCTTGGCCCACCCCAATGGCTAGAAAAGACTAGGCGGCGTGGGCTGGCTCGGACAGATTTTTTAAATTTTGTGAAAAAGACAATAATTCTACCAAAAAATAAAATTTGTAAATAAAATATCCGGGCTGGGCCGACCTTGTAGATCCAGGCCCGAGGTCGGGTAGGGGATTTTGCCTGGGCCGGACCCAGTTTTTTGGGCCACCCGTTTTGGCAGTCGTAGTCGAGATCCATGGTATGCTATATTCAGTAGCACATGGTACCTACGAAGGGGTAAATTTAGTTGACTGGTACTGAAACCACAAATCATTTGGGAGCATTTATATGCTCATTTCGGCAATTTTACAATTTTAGGGTCTGGGGTTCTCTTGAAGGAGCGGATGGTTGTGAGTGATTGAGGAAGATCAAAGCGGATTAGTCATGAACTTGTTCTTACTCTCATGCTTTATGGATGGTTATTAGGATATAATTGATGTGTTTTATCGGGTTTTAGGCTATGCGTGTCTTGCACTTGAGTCATGCCAGAGAAAAAGGTTAATAAGGAAAACTCATCTGGTCTTGTTTGTGCTTGAATAAACTTCTGAGCTACATTTTCCTTTATTTAGTAAAAGTGGGACTGACGACGCATCTCTTTCTTGCCTTAATTGCTACTTCTATCTGATACATATTTTGTCAAATAAGCAGATTATTAACTTATTCATGGAGACATATTGTTTATATTGCGGTAAACTTTCAAGTAGCCATATTTTTTGGGATGTTATTGGTGTTTAAACATATTTTTTGTTAAAGATCCATAGATTGAATTTTTATTGGCACAACCCATACAAGTAAGAACGCCAAGAAATTAAAGCATATAAAACATTTCAGAGAAAGTATGCAATGGATTGATCTTCAAACTAACATCCAGACTTCGTCAGAGATGATAAATTAGATTGAACTCTCCAAGAAACTGATTTATCAATGAACCAGACAAACTAAACTCTCAGGCAAGGAAGAGGTGCCAATAAAAATACAGAGATCTAGCTGCCTAAGACGTGACATGAATATAGCTTGCACATATCCAAGGCACCGTCAATGATATGTGGTGATAAATTCAGAACTGACCCATCATCAACAGCCAATCTACGAATAGTGTATGAGAGCATATTTGGTTACTTTGGGGAAAAGCATCAAAAAATTAACGAAGAACCTCCTTAAAAAGACAGACGGAAAGTCTTCTTTAAGTGGGAGGAAAAAGAGAGACATAAGTCACGAAGAGAAAGAGAAAGGACCAGACTCCTGCTTGACAGTTGACAACTAGGGTTTTTCTTTGAGAGAGGAAAAGGGTAAGTTTCAGAAAACTCTCTGAACTTTTAGGGATTTACAGAAAACTCAAAAGACAGCAATAACATTACTCCCTTGATTCTTCTTTCAAAGTAACATCAAAACTATCCAACATTACTGCATTTCTCACAGGAGTTCTAAATTTTTCGGGGCTAGCAAACTCTATTCAGAACTTAAAATGCGACTTATGAAAGTGTTTCTTTTCACTTTACTGGGGGGAAAGTTCTAGAATTGTCTTCTATTTCTGCTTCAGAATCTAAAGGAATACTTCTCATCTCTTTACTATCATCACAAATAGGCATGACTTGTTTTTGAGCTCATTGTCTTTACCACCAAGAACCCTAGGACCAGTCAGCTCTTTTAAGAACATGATCATCGTCCTCTTCGTCTTTTTCTTCCTCATTAAATCAAATGTAGGTCCCAATCTTTATCTTTAATATTGTCCCCATTATAATGCCCAAACGATATCCTTTTTCCTTTGTCTTTGACTGGTTTTTTTATAGCAACTTCCAACAATTCAAATTGTCATTTTCATAGGCACGCCTGACAATAAGTCAACAATATCACTCTTGCGAACTTTCTCATAAAATTCCTTCCCTGAGAGCCTAGAGGAGTAATCCTCCATTGATGAACGTACCAGGATCTTTGAGATTTAGTGTGAACTTATCCTTGAATCGGTGGTTAAACATACTGTACTATGAAATTATAGTCAGGTTCCTCCCAATTATGTAGAATGCAGTTTCTAGATCTTCCCAAGTGTACTTCAGTCTAGGAGACTGATTGAAGAAATCACCATGATGAACATGTAAAAATTTCATCATATCTACTGCAATTCAACCAATGATTTAACACTCTGTACAACCAAATTATAGTCAGCTTCATCCCAATTATGTAAATGCAGTTTCTATATCTTCCCCCAAGTGTACTTCATGCTAGGAGGCCGATTGAAGGTATCACCATAATGAATATTTAAATTTTTTATCATATCTTATGCAATTCAACTGAAATAAAACTCAAATTCAAAGTCACATTACCATGAATTCAAGATAATTACCCATATATTAAAAAAAAGCTAATAAAGAAAGCAAATTAGCACATCATGAGAAAACCCTAAATTTCCATTAAAAAATCCTGAATAGTTTGAGCATTATCCTTAATATTTTAGCAAAATCCCCAAATTTAACAAAAGGAACAAGTTAATTGGAAGGGAAAACAAAAAAATTACAGGAATTTAGGGTTTCAAATTACCTCTTTGAGCTTCAGTTGACTTGAGGAGAGAGAACTATGGCGGGAAACAAATGAAGACTTCCATGGTTGGAACACAGTTGCAAGAAACATGACGACAAGGTTGAGCAGTTATGAAGGAGGCAGACAGCATCAAGCGATTTCTATCTGTGCAAAGACTTGAGGGGGAAAGATTTTTGTCTGAGGGACTTATTGAGTGGGGCCAGTATTTTAGGTTGAAGGGTATGAGTGAGATCATAATTAGGTTATGTTAACTGAGTCAGTTACGACCAAACTTTGGTGTATTTTTTGCGCAAAAAAGGGATATTGGGGTATCAAAATTTAAAAATGGTGTAATCTATAGGGTTTTGCATCAAATTGATGCCATGCACAAAAGAGAGGGAGGGACGCATTAGTCATTTCACATGAAACCTTTATTCGTCGTATGAAATAATCTGTTATAGCATGGAAGTTGTATGTTAAAGAAGTGATACACGTATGGGGAGTTCTAAGACGTGTAATGTCCAAGCATATGATGAAGTTTCATGTCTAGTACATGTTTAACACAGAGAATACTCCGTGATAGAATTGTTTCTGTTGTGTAGTCTGAAATAATAACTACATTGACTTTGGCTCTATAATTGTACATAATTTATTAACCCTTTCAGGGGCAAGCTTACATTGCATGTACAATTCGTTCGTGTTCGTATCAATGCATATTTGTATATTGGATTGTGCTCAAGGTTTTAAATAGCGGTTATCGGGGATTTATCGGACGGCCAAAATCCTTATCGGATAGCGGAAATCGGGGATATATCGGGGATAAGTAGTATTTATCGGAGTGATATACTGGATGATGTATATATATAATATGATAACTAAAAAATATAATCTAACCATACTTAATGAAATATAAACATACCAAAATGTAAATCATCATGTTTAGAATCACTAACCAATTGTAGAAAGCAAAACTTGCATCTTGACCGCACGATGAAACCATTCGATTGCATAGCCTTACTTATCGGCCGATAATCCCGATAAAAAAACCTTACTTATCGGCCGATAAGTACCGATAACGCCGATAACTCCCCGATAACTTGCTAAAAACGATAACCGATTAAAAATCCAAGTTATCCTATCGGAGAGTTCCCAAATCCGATAACTCGGCCGATAATATCGATTATCGGCCGATATTTAAAACAGTGATTGTGCTTTATGTTAATTTTCTTTATTATTTTTTGAGATTATTTGTTTCTCTTCTCCTGTTGTTTTCAGAGATTTGGCTGATTGGTTGGGAGTTGGAGATGCTGGTCTATTCAATTTTAAGCCTAGTGTGAGGCCTGTTCCGCTTGAAGTTCATATTCAGGCAAGTTTAATTATGTTCTTATCTCCCATATCTTGGCTTACCCCACGCGAAAAACCCCCTTGCTCTAAAACACGAGCGGACAGACACCCAACTAATAAAAGTTTACATGTTAAACTTCAATCATCTGAATTTGCACTTTGCACTATGTACTGCACGCAGCTCAAGTAAAAACCTAAATATCTTGTCTGCACTGTGTTCAGTGGAATTATATAGCTGTCTACAAGTTAAAGTACATGCCATAAGCTGGTCTTTGCTGTAAGGTGTAGTTGCCATTGCATGCTATTTTGCAAGCATTTAGCGTGTATTGTATTCTTAGTTTTACACACTATTTGTGTGTGAATTTGTCCTGATTCTTTAAATTTTGAGGTCTAGGTTCTTTGTTTTCATGAACAGGGATATCCAGGGAAGTTCTACTGTCCAAGAATGAATAGCATGAATAAACCGGCATATGCTGCAATATGTACCCATTCACCTTCAAAACCAGTGCTCATTTTTGTTTCATCTCGACGTCAAACCAGACTTACTGCACTAGATCTCATCCAGGTGAGAATTCGCTACAGGTTACATATATCAATTAGCAGTTTGATTGTTTCTAATTAGTGTGGCCTGAAATAACAGCTTGCAGCATCTGATGAACAGCCTAGACAGTTTCTTGATATGCCAGAAGAAGAACTAGAAATGGTTCTTTCACAGGTTACTGACAACAACTTAAGGCATACTCTACAGTTCGGAATTGGACTGCATCACGCTGGACTGAATGACAAGGATAGATCTTTAGCTGAGGAACTTTTTGGAAACAACAAAATCCAGGTGTTTCTTTAATTTATTTATTACATTTTATCCTGGGAGCACTGTCAATTTCTATTCTCACTTGGAAATCTAGAGCTACAATTTGAGCAACGTACTTATGAGTTTTGCTTGTTACTGCACTTAATAGATCTTAGTATGTACTAGTACACTGGCATGGGGTGTTAACCTTCCAGCTCATCTGGTCATCATTAAGGTTAGATTATAAGCTTTTTTGTCTTGTATGTAGTTCTATCCTCACATGAGAACTGACATATTGAACCTTATTTTAATTTCAGGGGACAGAATACTATGATGGAAAAGCTAAAAGATACGTTGATTTTCCTATAACAGACATTTTGCAAATGATGGGCCGTGCTGGTCGACCACAATATGATCAGCATGGAAAAGCTGTTATTCTTGTTCATGAACCAAAAAAGAGTTTTTATAAGAAGGTTAGTATCAGGAACCATTTTAGTGGCATAACTTGTAGGGTTGCAGAAATGACATTCGTCATGATTTCACAGTTCCTTTATGAACCATTCCCTGTTGAAAGCAATTTGAGGGAGCATTTGCATGATCACATCAATGCAGAGATTGTCTCTGGTACAGTCTGCCATAAGGAGGATGCTATGCACTATCTTACATGGACCTATCTGTTTCGCCGATTGGTAGGGTTTTCTATATGCTGGCTTTTTGAATGCAGAGTTTTTAAATATAATGCCTCTTGAAATCGTATCTGAATTCAGTCATTATCATATTTATATCCTTCTATATATAAAGCAAAGGTGTAATATTTTGGAACTTAATAGTGCATTCAGAGATTAAAAATTAATAGTGATGCCATCTGACAAATGATATGGACTCCGAACTAGATTTGTGTTCAGATTTGTCCTATCTCCTACAAATCCAATTGGTTCTTATGGTAGGCATTGCTGCTTGATTCGTTGCCTCTTTTGCCTGATATTTTCTGTAAATTAATCATAGTGTAAGCATATATTCTCTCTTTGAGTAGAACCGTGCGGTAGAATTGATTCCTTGGTTGACGTCCTGTAAATAGCCCTATACTTCTACTCTTTTCAAAGAATAAAGATGTAAATAGCCATATATTTCAAAGAATAAAAGATTCTTTATTACTACAACTGCATCCAGATTCTCTTTTATTGAGGGTTTATTTGCTGAGCTTAGAGCAATTGCAACTCCATTTACCATGCGGGTTCTTTCGTTGAAAAATAAAGTGTAGGTAACATGGTTATAAACCCAGAGTTAGGAATGGCAGGATCTGCAGGCATTTAGAAATTTAGTTGTTTATTCAAGAGAAACTGAGTTGGTAGCTGGTTACGAGTCAAACTATGCTACTACTAAGGTGTTTCTGTTGATTTGCTGATGTGATGACTCTGCAGACATTCTGTAAACAGCCATATACTTTTACTCTTTTCAAAGAATAAAAGATTTTTTATTACTATAACTGCATCAAGATTCTCTTTTATTGAGGGTTTATTTTCTGAGCTCACAGGAATTGCAACTCCATTTACCCTGTGGGTTTTTTCATTGAAAAATAAGGTGTAGGTAACTTGGTTATAACCCCAGAGTTCAGAACGTCGGGATCTGCAGGCATCTAAAAATTTAGTTGTTTATTCAATAGAAACTGAGTCAGTAGTTGGAGTCAAATTATGGAACTAATGAGGTGTTTCCACTGATTTGATGATGTGATGACTGGCCAGCATTTTCTGTTGCCAACATCGAGACTTGATTAGTTGGGAATTTAGTGCATTTTGTACTTCCATGCCGAGGACTTGAAACTTTCCACATGATTGGCACTGGAGTATAAAGGTTTTGCTGCGATAACACTGTTGATCCTCCTAGCCCATGTATTTTTTGTCATGTGATGTCATGTTAATTGGCATAGTAGGCATATATTTATGAACTATGATGTCTGAACTTGTGTCCATATTTCAGGTTATAAATCCATCTTATTATGGATTGGAGGATGCTGAAAACGAGACTCTTAATTCTTATTTGTCAAGGTAGCTAAATAATGATGTAAACATATATAGTTTTGTTGCCCAAAGCTGACACTTGAAATCTTCTAACTCGTGTCATTGAAGTGAGTGATATTTTTATCTTTGCTTCAAACAGATTAGTGGAAACTACTTTCGAGGATCTGGAGGACAGTGGTTGTATTAAGATGACTGAAGATTCTGTGGAGGCAATGATGCTAGGTTCTATAGCATCACAGTATTACCTGAGCTATATGACAGTATCAATGTTTGGTTCAAACATAGGTCCAGACACTACTCTTGAGGTAAGTGATGACGTTGCATCTGCCTTCATCTTATTTAATCTGGAAATGCAGAATGTTCTGAGCTTTAAATTTCATTCTGTTCCTAGGTTTTTCTGCACATCCTCTCTGGTGCTTCTGAATACAATGAGCTCCCTGTGAGGCATAATGAGGTATGCTCGAGTTCATAAATTTTGTAACTTGCTTTGTCAGAATTTATAGAGTGGAAGTAGAAGATTTATTTTGTTCATTTTTCTTGTAGTATTTTATTCTCAGTCTTACTCATTATTCGTCCCTGAAAGATATGATGTTCTGTTTGGGACGTATCTTATAGTATACTGAGTCTTGGAATATGTTAATTTTATTTCATGGCATCATGCTGTGTCAAATCCTTCATATCAAATTTATCATCTTTCTTCTTTTTTGTTTTCTATGATCCATTGTGTGAGCTAAATTGCATACCATTATCTTTGTTTTCAAGTCAGAAAACTGGTTTGTGTGATATATGAGAAGGCACTCCCTAGCCTAAAGTTGCTTGTCTATGATTTTGGTACCAACACAGTGTTCACATCACTTTGACAACCTGTCATATAATTTGGGGAATCTCTTCACAGAAACCAATGGAATAGCTGGCAATAACCATGGTGAGAAAGGCAGCAACTAATATTCTGGGGAATTGTTTTAGGACCTATTCTTGACGGTTGATTATTTTTCTTGACTTTGTTGTCTTTAGAGTGCGTAGAGGTTAAAGCAACTTTTTCTTTCCTAACTATTCATTTATATTAAAAAAATTTACATATCCTTGAGGCAATGTTGATAGACCTGTAGCTCTTTTATCCACTAGGGATGGCAAAAAGGTGCATGTCAGCCCTAATGAATAGTTGATGGTCTTTTCATCCTTCTTTGGTATTATTTATTGTTATAACCTGTATATTTCTATGTTAAGCAAATGCTTCTCTTTTCTATAGCCAAAAAAATTATTATCCTGAAGGCAATGTTCACTAGATATATTTGCTTGTCCATTATTCCCAGGAGAAATTATACAGCTAACCCTACTAACTATTTTTCCTGTTGATTACTCATTTTTATTTTTTGCTGAAAGCTGATTCTGATTCTCTGATTCAACTATTTCAAGCGCTAGTCTGATTCAACCTTATGAGGTGTATTGTCATGGAAATGTCCGATCTTATCTCTGTTATCAATTAGTCTGGGTGTTTCTGTCCTATGTGGGCTGGTTACCATAAAACAAAACCTATAGAGGGTCCTCTACTGAATATTGTCTAGGGGGCATTGGTTCAGTGTTTAAGAAAATGCTAAGCGTCGGTAGGCCAGCCTAGATGATTTTTTTAGTTATAATAATTGATGATAAATGCATTAACTAACAATGAACATTAGCTAACAATAATATTATAACAGTATACTAACTCACTAACAGTGAACAAAACTAATTAACTAACAAAAAACAGTGAGCAGATAAACTAAACTAATTACACTAACTATTGTGATTTCAATAATTGTTTATCACAGTTAAACCCTAATTAACAATTTAGATCAACAGTTTAAGTACTAAGTAACTAATAATGAATTAAGAAATTAAAAAAATTAAAGTAAGTAACTAACAATTTAAATTAAATTAGACTAACTATCAACAATAAAGATTAAACAATAAACACACTATAAACTTATATTAAAATTTAAAACAAGGCAAAAGATATTTACTTTCATTAAGACCAGTAACAAGTAAAAACTGAAAAAAGTAAAAATAGGATAGAGTATGACTAAACATTTACCAAAAGCTTGGTTGGAGGAGGGAGGAGGAAGGTGATCAGAGGAGGAAGGAAGGCCTCGACTGGGAGAGACTCGCCGTAGGTGGCCGTGACTAAGAAGGAGGCTCATTATTGGAGATTATGACTCTAGTGACTCTCTGCAGTTGGTTCTCACAACTGGGGATCAGTGGGAGAACGACGAGTCTCATGTATACGTCAAACCTATCATATCATATAGCTTTTAACAAGGCATAATACCTGCTCATAATAGAAGTTCAGAGCAAACTACGTATATCTAGTTCTTACAACCCACCCCTAGTATCCTTTTCCATTGATTTTCCTACCTCAGAATGCAAAAGCGAAGTGATGATATGAGTTCATATCATTAAATTCATTCCTTTTATATCATTAACATATGTAGAGAGGTTAATTATACTAAACACCCAAACTTTCACTTAAAATTCACATTACGACCTGGGCTTCAAAACCATATAGATAAATACCCAAAGTTTCCAACGTAAAACACTTAAACACTCAATGTTTCCAAATTCTTTCACGTTATACTTACTGTTAGTTAACTGTCAGAATATTCCAGGAATATTCTTTTTTGGGTTGGCATGTATTATTTTCATGCCTTCTTTACCCTTATAATTGATTTAAATTACAAACTCTACCCTTAATTCGATATTTTACACATATACACTATCTAATTATGAACTTTATTGTACCAAGTTAAAACCTTTGTACAAAACTAATTCATAAACCAATGACATGTCCAAATCCAACACAATTAATCACAACAAGCTAACTCCCCTGAATTATACAACAATACATCAAAGTATCCATCAGAAAAGGCTCACCAAGCCAGAGTTTGGCATGTTTACTTATACAAAGAGAAAGGCACCGTCATTTATTCACACTCAGCAGCCCAAACCAGCTAATTCAAATTAGAGGACATTTTAGCTAATCCACTAGTACCTAGCTAATATCTTTATGTAACCCATAAACCCAACGAAACAACCAAATTCGTTGAGATTCAATAACCCAATGAAATCCAACACAATTCATTGAGAGCTAATAATCCAAATTCCAATAAAGTTTTTAAAAAATGAACAAAGATTGAATCCTAACACTAAGCCGCTGACAATTTGGAGGAAATTGGGAGAAATTGGGAGATAGGAAGAGTTTTTGTCATTGTAGTGTTTGGGTGAATTGAAGAACGGAGGCATTTATGTCATTTACTGATTTTTTTTAACAGAAGAGCTCAACCACACTAACTCATTTTGACACCATCTCCATCATACAGTTACCCCATTATTAACCATACGGTTCCCCCATTATTAACCCCAAGTGATCTCTTTTTATTACTAACCAATACATGATATCTTGTGTATTAGATCCATAAATTTTAGTTCGTGAAAAACGCCTATTTGTACTTATAGCTTAAAGGCAGGTCCATGACACTCCCACTACCAGTCTGACACCCTCCATATCTGGAATTACAAGATAACAAAATCCATACTCTAAATCTCACGCGCAATTAAGTCAATGTAGTAGTACATTCCTCTCGATAGGTAAATGGTCGTAAGTGGCTACAACACCCTTTTTATCTCGAAAGAAGATCTTGTCAACAATCTCAGTGAACATGTACCCCAATGGTATAATCGCATATTGGTGTTAAAGAGGACACAATAGCATTTTAATGTTGCGGCTCATCATCATGTATGACCTCATGTAGGGTATCGGTGCCTATTATTTTACTAAGTTATGGTGATTCCCACCCTAGGATGCTCATAATAAACGTTACAATCATAAAGTCCATAACATGATAACAATTTGAATATCATCACAATATCAAATTTCACACGCACAGTCTATTTAGAAAAAAAACCATCAGACTCAATTAGTTGGTGAATAACGTCGTTTTTTGTGGAAAAATAAGAAATATGGGCAATTCCCAACAAACATAATCTCCTAGATTTAGGTTCGTACCATCTAAAAAAACTATTTGTTGTCAAACGTTCAAACACTTGTTTAATTTAGAAAAACAACATTTACCAGGCACTGACATCGTCTAAGGTCTTGCACTGAAACAAAAAACATTTACCAGGCACTGACAATTGTCTAAGAATCTGCCAAACAATTGTTTAATTTAGGAAAACAACATTTACCTTGCCCAATGTTGGTTTAAATCTGCCGAACTGATTCTTAGGGTTTCATGTTCATCAAGTGTTCATGATAAAAACCATTTACAGCTTGGAAATTGATATTCCAGGAGTTACCCATAATAGAAAATAGTCTAATAAATTATAAAAATGTGGAATCTAGTGAAACAGATTAATGTTGTACAAGTTAGAATAGATCTACATTTAATTTTCAATTAAAGTATGACCACAAAGAACAACCCCAATCTTCACACACGTCAAGCCAAATCATTTCATATCAATCACAGCTGCAATTGATTTAATTAGATAAGACATAAAGAATCAATCACAGATGCAAGACTCTGATTACCTCCATGCCATGGCCTTCTTTTCTCGGATCAAAAGAAGATGTGGGAGGCTATAATTCTTTATATACTCAATTATCCACTTAATTACCCAAACTCTAACTGCCCAGAAAATTCAGGAAAAAAAATATCATTATTACCAAATAAATTCACGATCAACTTTCTCAACTGTAGCGAAAGTCAATTCCAACTCCTGATATGGTAAGATATCTCTGCAGATTCTCAACTCCCAAGCTTCATCACGTGCATACCATAGATATACTTGTACCCTGATTAACGAGCACTACATTTACCCTGTTTCATCTTAGAACGTTACACATCTATTAATAATTATTATATTTGCTAGCACATTCATTTTTTACACATCTGAACCTCTGATATAATGTTAGTGTAGAACTCTCATTATTCCTTATCTTTCTGTATATTTTTTTATTTATCGTGTCCATACATATTTTGTTACCTGTCCGTAAAGCGATAGTTTTGTTGCTTTTTACCATTCACGTATATTTTGCTGGTATTTAACAGGACAAGCATAATGAGGAATTATCAAAAAGGGTCCCTTATGTGGTCGACGAGCACCACCTTGATAGTCCACATGTGAAAGCAAATTTGCTCTTCCAGGTTGTACATTGTTCAGATTGGTGATATCTAGCTATTGATGCATTATTAGCAATTCTTGCCTTTGGATATTACTCAGATTTCTTTTGAACTCTTGAGCTAAGAACCTTTTCCTGTTGCAGGCACACTTCTCCCACATTGAATTTTCTGTTAGTGACTATGTCACTGACTTAAAATCTGTTCTTGATCAAAGCATACGTATCATTCAGGCTATGATTGACATATGTGCAAATAGCGGATGGCTTTCGAGCGCAATGACTTGCATGCATCTTATGCAAATGGTCATGCAGGTATCACTTTCCTTCTTCCTTGTTTGTTTTGATATTATGGTTATCAATTTAGGTATTGGGGCACGATTTAGCATTGCAATGAATAGTTTTATTTTGTTTTTGTTTTTTCCCCATTTTTATCTGTTGGATTTAATATATGATGCTATATCTCGAAATCATAATCACCTTATGAATTTAATGTGATATGATGAAAGCAATCATACTCAAGGAAGTGGTAACATGTCATTAATCAGATTGTTATTTTTTAGAATTAGGACTCTGGTGCCTTATTACACAGTGTAGGCAGGCCAACAGGTGGACTAGATGCCAAAATTATTTGATCATAATTAACACAGAAACAAGGACTAGATGCAGGCCTTGACGAAGGTGAATGGAGTTAATTAGAGATGATATGGTTGCTATCAATTTATGTAATTTAACTGAGGAGATGACCTTAGCAAAGCAGAATGGAAGAAATAGATTCATGTTTCAGACTTCTTAAGTATTGGATAAAGTTTTTTAATTTTTAATTTTTTATTTATAATTAATTAATTATTTTATTTTATTTTAGTTTCTTGGGCTATGCTTGTTTGAAGTTCTTGTACAATGTACTTTAAGTTCAAAGTTTAACTTGAATCAATTATAGTCTTTCTTGAGATGAAGCAGTGGCTTGATCTGTTACGGAACTTCGTATTAAAAGTTCTTCTCCACCTATAAAACGTGTTGCATCATGTAGAACGTAACTAACATTTTTCAGAATGAGTTGATCGTGCTGTCAGTAGGCATCACTGGCTGTTGCTTCTCTCTTAACAATGAATCTTTCAGTATGTCTGCAGGAGCGCATTTTTAATTTGTCTTATGCATTGATGTTGGTGTAGATTAGTGGACCCTTAAAGTTTTATTTGGTTGTCACGTTTGCTAATATTAACAGTATGGTGTTTATTTTCACAATCAATAGTAGAGTGGACATTCGTCCCATTTATTTGGTGTGATATCAATAAGTCTTATGATAATTGTGCCTTATATATGACGCTTGACGTTACCTCTGCGCTTATTTGTTGGGCAAACAATATTCATTTACATTCTTTTAAAATGTGGTCCGAGCGCCTGTCTAAGCGGTACTTAGGCTCCCTGCCTAGTTCTTGGGAGCGCCTAGGAGATCATGGGCCACTTATGTGGACTGTACCACTTCAAAAAGAGTTATATTGCTTGCTTAAGCATAGTAACAGATGAAGAGAATGGGTCAATTCAAATGAATGTGATTGAAACTCCATATCAAAGTCCACTTTAGGTAAACAGCCAGGATAGGATTTTGAAGCTTCGGAAAAAATTCTGTTTCTCTCTTAAAAACTCCTACTTGCTGCTTAAGCACCTGCATAGACGTAGGCGCCTATCGCTTTCTAAAACAGTTTTCAATTTTGTTTTCAAGAAACCAACATAACGATTACTCTCATATATATTGTCTAAGATCAGTACATGAAACTCTTTCTAGGAGATTAGCCTCTGCATTTCATATTGTACTATATGATGTGTGATGGCTGAGGAGGATATATATTCGGTAAGTGTACAAATGTATTTTTTTCTGTGTTTATCCGTAACAAGGAACATGCATATTTTTTATTGTACTATGGTAAATATGAAGAATTTTTAAAAAAGAGTATTTAAATAAATAATAAGAAAAATCGACACTTTTATGAAAATATTAGCAAAATCGACCTCTTTTTGGCCAAGTGGCTAAAGAGAGGTCGATTTTGCAGAATACTGACTTTAAAATATATGTGACTAGTAGTTATGTGTAATTGGTGGTCGCTAATTACAGTTAATTTGAAATGGTCGTCTTGTGTACTTTGTGCTAAAATGCTTAAAGTTTAGTTACTTAGAACTAAGTACACGGGATTATTAGTACATGTATTTTAAAGCTGAATTTTTGCAGAGTCGACCTCTTTTTAAAAAAGAGGGGTCGATTTTGCTAATTATTTTTCAGAAAGGGTATTTTTTTAAACATCTCCTTTAAATATTTAATTTCCCGAGAAGCTAGAAATTCTTTCTTTTTTTTTCCTTGAGAATCTTTATTGCAATTTGATGTTGCAATCGGATCAACCACTTACAAATTTTTGGAATGAGTAACTTTAATATAATGGATAGATTGTCCAGATCAAATTAGTAAGCTCTGAGATGAACTGACTGAAAAGATGACCATTATCTTCTGATAAAATTGCAATCTGAAGTTTTCTCACTCTACTCCGGAGATTGCTTTTTCATTTTTATGATGAATAACCCAAAAAAACAGCAATAATATGCTTCATGAATATATGTTTCCTTATAAATACTAACCTTCTTTTTTTTTTCAGGGTTTATGGTATGGGAAAGATTCATCCTTATGGATGCTTCCCTGTATGTCGGATGATCTTCTAAGTTTTCTCAACAGAAATGGTGTATTTTCTGTCCAAGAGCTGTTAAATCTTCCTAGTAGAAAATTGCGACTGTTGCTTCAGCAGATACCTTGTCCCGAGCTGACCCAGGTAATCTGTGTCAACCACCCACGTTATACCACCACCACCACCCCCCCCCCGCCCCCCACACCCCACAAAAAAAAAAGAAACAACATTAACAACACACAAAATACTGTCCTCCTCTTATAAGGATAGTTCTATCCTGCTTTTGCCATTTACTGAAATATGATGATACCATACTGTACATGAATAAACAAAGTTAAAGCAGGTGGTATGTGCTACCATGCACTTACTGGTTGCATAATGAATGTACTGCTTGTGCAGCCCATAAATGGGCGCCTCATGTATGTAGACTAAGTGAAATAAACGGTGTGTTTGTATGCATAACTTTAGTGAGATAGACTTGGCTACTACAGAAGGATGGATCCAAATCCTTCATTTAACTTCAATATTAAATTTTTCAGATGGAAAAACCATAGCGTTAAAGTTGGTCTGCATTTGAATGGGATAGAAACAAAAAAAATAAAGCATTTACATTTTTTGTCATTCATCAGGTAAGCATAAAATTGATCTTTATTTTTTATTTTTTTCCCCGGAGTGGGGAGGACTGTGTGGATTAGATTCTATGGTCTTTGATATACAAAATCTTGATGCAACCATTTGATAATTATCTATATGCATGTAGTTCATTTTGTACCCACTTGCTCCGTAGTCAAAATTCTTAAACCGCTTGATTTTTTTTAGAATCGCAAGTTGATTTTAAAATGAATGGATCTTCTCTTTGGTGTTGCAATCTTCAAGGCACTATGATCATATCTAAAAATCAAGAACCAAATCTTATAATTCTACGGGTCTTAAATTTTTTCGATGGTTTAGGGGAAGTCTTTTAAAAATTTCCTCTTCTTTTTTTTGTGCATGGTAAGTCATGTCCGTCCCAAAACAGAAAAAAAAAGAGTGCAGATAAGTGCAGAGGAAACATGGGGGACTTTGGTTGTACTCTGTTGTTATCATGTTGACAATGGAGATCCCGAGGTAAGATATTGGGTCTGGTCTTGAGTTGGGAGGAGGCGAGGACGAAAGAAGGGTACATTAGTCACTTTTTAATAACTCTAAGCTAGTCAAGAAAAAAGAGAGACATATTTCTTTTTATTCTCAGATAGTAATGAACGCATCAACTTCAAAAGACCCGTGTGCATATGTGTGTGGGTTTTTTTCTTTTGGCGCGCTGTGTAAATTTTTGGTCTATATATCAGAACGAGCCCTAAGCTATCATCAAAAAAGAACCATCGATAAAGACCTGAAATTCAAGGACAATATATAGAAAAATCTAATTGTCCACAGTGCATTTTAATTACCTTTTCTCAATGACCATGTATAAGTTATGCCTGATGGCCTGATGAGATTAAACTAACGACTAGGTAGCTCATAGCTGCACATAAAGAGCATTCATGCACCTAAGATGGCAACAAATTAATGATTAATAAGGAAAAACAAAAAATGTGAACATGAGAGAACTTTCAGGGACACGTAATAGTAACAAGTTAAATAGATAGATCGAATGTCAAGTCTCCGGTAAAAAATCACCTGATATAATGTGCATGCTCTGCCTATGCATCCTTGACTGCTAGCAGCATGCATATATGTGGTTCATGCTATTCTCACCCTTTTTAGTTTGTTTTTAACTGCAATATTTAATATTTTATCCGATTTCATGTGGCAGCTTGTCTATAATGAAATATAATGTTCAGTGAAATGTTAGCACAGTATTTACCTTTTACGGGGACAGGCAACATCTTATCTTTACTAGAATTATCATACTATATATATGCCAAGTTGCACTCCTGGTATCTTATTAGAGCTTTGACTCTTTATCTTCCTATAATTAGTACTTAATAACTAATTTTATCAAATGTTTATTTTTCTCTTTATCCCTCTCATTTCTGAGGATAAAACAAATTGATAGGTGTTCATGTTGTGTATGCAACTGTGAAATTACAATCTCTACTATGTTATATTATTATAATTTTCAAATTATAATATACCATAATAGATACAGAACAATATTTATAATAAAAGTATTTGTAATCTATGCACATGTATATCATGTTGTATGAGGACATGCAGAAATGCTCTTACCAAAGCTCCATGTTATGTGTAAAATAATAATAGTTTCAAATGAGGCTACCTTAAATATGCCTTGCCTGTTGAGGATGTAGGCATTGGTCTTTCCATGTATTTGTTTATTTATTATGATATCCACTTTATTCTTTTTTGCTCCTAGTATCTTATGCTTGCTGCATTTATAATAAATAGAGAAAGTAAGTATTCTCGGTACCAAGGACAAAGTTGGTCCTTGATAGTGAGGTGGTCTATTTTCATCTACATATTTGGAGTGTTCATTTGAAAATGGTCCCCGCTTGATTACTCACACATTAGATGAGTGGATGAGAAGTGGTCACCTCATTACCTAGGACTAAAATTGGTTGTTGATGCCAAGGATACCCATATTCCTCTCCTAAATTTATGGAAAATGTGAAGCTGCACTAGAGTGATGTCATTATTTCCTTTTGTTGCGTTGTTTCTTCTACATGTGTAGGAACTTGCGCACTTTCCGCATGTACAGGCAAAATTAAAGCTTGAGAGGGAAAACACAGGAAGAACTAATTCTCCTGTCCTTAACGTAAAACTGGAAAAGTTAAATTCTAAGCATTCAACAAGAAGAGCATTTGCCCCCAGATTCCCAAAGGTGAATGCAGTGTCTCTATTTATGACTATCTTTTTATCTTTAACTGGAAAATTATCTGTTGAATATTAAACATGTGTTCACAGGTGAAAGATGAAGCATGGTGGCTAGTCCTGGGAAATGTTACAATTTCCGAACTGTATGCGCTGAAAAGAGTAACTTTCTCTGATCGAATGGTTACTCGAATAGAATTACCATCAACACCAATCAATCTCCAGGTCAGAAAATGTCCTCATACATTAGTCAAGGGTTCAGTGTTTGTAGTTGAGTGGCATTGGGGTGCCTCCTACAAAATATTGTTATATCTAGATAGTTAAGGATTGTGAGGAGAATAACTACAGAATAATTTCTTTAGCAGCATAGTTGCTAACCAATTGGCTTACCCACGTCCCAAAGGTATGTCCATGTAGCAGTCAGAGTTTAGGAGCTTCTTCCTTAAAACAAGTTGCAGAAACCACCTTTATCCATAGTCATTTCATAGATCTGGGCCCAGGTCGGTTGTTTTGCTTTGAATGTGCTCTGCTGTGTTCGGCAATGTAAATGGCATAGGATCTCTAGGCAAACCTCATTTTTATGTACAGATAGATTGTGGTGATATATGTTGCGGAGATTCTTTTTAACACCTCAATATTATTTTCATTTCTTTGAAGTAGTCTAGCCTGGGACTTTTGCCCCCTTATACTCCCACTATATTCTACCTTTAATCAAGGCTTCAAATTCTTTCCATTTGTTGTCTAATACTTCTCATATTTGTTTGTTGTTGCAGGAAACAAGGCTAATTTTAGTATCTGACTGCTATCTTGGATTCGAACAAGAGTATCCCATTGAAGAGGTATAACTGAAGCTGCTCCAAATGCGCGAGGAACCAGAGTCCAACCTGTGATCTGCTTGATCTCGCGCACCGCTTTCTTTTTTGATGGAAGAACAGTCGACCTCCTGCCGAATCATGACCGAGAAGTTAGGTCATATTAACTTACACCGATGGGTTCCAGGAGATGCAAGTATTTGACGTTGGTAGATGACAAGGAACTATCAATGCAGCTTTTTTGCAAATGATCATAATTCCTGAATTGTTCATCCTTCTGCCTCCTTGCAAGTGATTCCCACATATTTTGAAATACACTGCTTACAAATGGGAAAATATAAGTTGGGATTTTCCCGCATATTTTTTATTATTTATAAAGGTATTTTACTCATTTATGTTGAAGGACTATATTGCCTTCCAAGAACCTCTTATCATTCATTAATTGTTCGCTTCACAAGATTTCAACCTGTTTACTTCTCGTTTTGCTTCTCTGTCATCTACTTATTGATGTTAATATAACAACTTTTATTAGTATTAATTTATTAATTTGTTTGAGTAATATGAAATTAATTAATTAGCCTCAATATTTGTAATTAATAACCACAAATAATTTAATATATTAAATATATATTGATTAAATATTTGTGCTACGAGTATTATGTTCGTACTAGCATGGGTGGGCATGATAGCTTCAGCTTGCATATATATATTTTTTGTATTTATTTCACCTTTCATATGAATATGACCAGGTAAATGGCTTATAGTAACAATTAATATCTATTGTGGGACTTAAGGCATTGTGAGTAGAACATGAAAACGTTAATTTTTTTGCTTATGGACATCAAAATTAGTACAACACTATTTGAAGGGCTTGATTCAATGTGAAAAAACCGTGATGAGTATATTTACTTATTGATATCAAAGGGGTTGTTTGCAATTTTTGAGTTATTTTAAGAGGTAGTTTGTAGTTTTTGAAGTTAAGAGTTTGTTTGCAATTTTTAAAAATTTTAGGAGTATTTTGCTTTGGACTTCAAAATTTTTCAAGATTTGTTGATGATTTTCTGATCTTTAGTGGTTGTTTGTAATTTTCTTATTTTTAGGGAAATGTTTATATTTTTTGTATTTTTTTCAGATCTATCTATAATTTTTGGATTTTTTTTTTTTAGATTTTAGATTTTTCTATATGCTTTTGTAATTTTCATAATATTTGGGGGTTATTTTAATTTTCAAATTTTCTAAGAGGGCTTTGTAATTTTAATACTTTTAAGGTGTTGTTTATAATTATATATAAAGCACCACCAATTTCTCATTATATATAAAGAATTAACTAACTAATTTTAAAGAAAATTGCATTGGGGTCTGTGAAATTACGAATTCAATTTAGGCAATCATGAGACCCCTTAGGCACAAAGAGCCTGGTGATTTTTGAGGAACGAAAGATCGAGGTATTTCTTTTGGTGCTCTGGTGGTGGGATTTGTTATTTCTTTCTTTTGTGTATCCTCTTCATAACTCAATTTATAGAGCCTTCCTTCTCCCCCAAATCTACCTCAAAATAGTTTAAATTAGTCCACTCATTAATTCCAAATAATAGCCATTAACAACCCTCAATAGAATCTATTTACGAGCCAATTTATTCTCCCTTGATAGACCATTAATTCTATTATTTCTCGTGTTACACATGACTTAATTTGGTCACATAATACTAACATCTCTCACTTGGTCAAATTAACCAAATAACATGTCTCTCACTATCCACGAGATTAGATGTTTTCATGTTACTCTCACTCTCCGTGATGAGTATTTCTTATTTCATTATTCATAAAATTTAGTTTGACTTATTGACTCCTAAGTCCTGTCAAACTCACACGTTTAATAAAAGATTTTGTTGGTACTCATTTTGTCAAATGATCGACAATCATATATGTAGTAGGGATGCAAGTAACTTTCACTTCTCCATTTTTTTACAATGTCTCGAATATAGTGATATTGAACCTCAATGTGTTCTCCTTTGGAACTATGCGCTCCACTATTAATTAGAATAATCGCTGCCTGATTATTGCAATAAATATCAATACGTCATTCTAACAAATTGGGATCAAGATCAACAAAAAGTCGTCTAATCCAGACAGGATGTGCAGTTGCCATACTGGAAGCTATATATCCTACTTCCTGTGTATATCTAGCAGCACGCCTCTATTTTTTGTTATTCTAAGAAACAACTCATCCTTCAAAGATGAACTAGTGTCTCAAAGTAGACTTCCTATCATCTCTAACACCTCTAAATTCAGCATTGGAGTAATTGAGGACTTCAAGCACACTTGCTTAATAAATTGATCTATGAGCCAATGTGCCTTTGATATAGATTATAATCCTTTTAACTCCCAATTTGCTGGATCCAGACTACTTTAATATTGACTAATTAGACTTACAACATAAGCTAAATCAGGTCTAGAGTATAACATGCATTAAGCTTCCAACAACTTGAGCATAAGGAACATCCAATTGCTTTGGCAATGTCTAGGACTTTGATCTTTACACAATCTCTTTCCATGACCAATAGAGTTGGTGCTGGATTAGAATTCTCCATTTCAAACCTCTTAAGAACTGATTTTAAATATTTTTCTTGTTTTAAACTCAACATTCTAGACTTTCTATTTTGAATTATTTGAATCTCAAAAATATATGATGCATCTCACATGTCTTTCATCTCAAACTTTTGGTTGAAATCTAACTTGATTTTGTTCAATATGTGCGTGTGTGTGTGTATTCAACATACAAGGATAATATCGTAAACTTGTTCCCACTTTTCAAGATATATACACAATTATCTAACTTGTTCTAAACAAATTCAAGTTTGGTGATGCATCATGAAATTTGAGATACCACTGTTTAGAAGATTGTTTTAAATCATATAGAGATTTTACTAATTTATAAAATTTATGTTGTCTTTTCACGAGAAAACCTCATATATATCACTTCATTCAACTATTCATTAAGGAATGTTGTTTTAACATCTATTTGGATTAACTCTAAATCTAAATATGCAATAATAGGCAAAATGATTCTTATGGATGCAAATTTAGCTACAAGAGCATCTCTTGAAAATATAGTCCTCCTTTTTGGTAACCCTTGATAACTAACCGTGCTTTAAAATTATCAATAAATCCATCAACACACTATTTTTTAAGTACTCATTTGCATCCTATGACTTTTCTATTCTTTGGTAGATCACTTAGCTTCCAAACCTTATTCTTTAATTTCCATAGATCCGATTCATGTGATTTCGTCTCATCAGAGAAGTTTGTTCTTCTATATTTGCATCTACAAAGGAACAAGATGATTCGTATGAATACAAATGATAATCATTCATCTATACAGGTTGTGTTTTGCATTTTACGTAAAACACCTATATGCCGAGGTTTCAACATTTTTCATAGTTCCATCATTATTAAGGTCAGATTCACTTATAATATTTGGATCGTTAGTGGGAACATAGCCTGATTTTTGAAGTTTTCATCTGACTTTTCTCAAGTCCAAATATGCTTTTCCTCTAATTTTTCTTTCTTCATTCCAAATTAATGATTTGCAGTCAAACAATCAGTAGACGATAGAATAATTATGATATGAAATAGTAATGATGTTATTCTAAAAAGTAAGTTATTTTAAAGTTATTTCCCCTAATCATGTTAGTTACCAATTGAATCAAACCTCTCACAAAATTATTCGGGTTTATGGGACGTCAGATTTGCAAAATTACATCGATTTGGGCTTCAAAATTATTCGGGTCAATAACATCTGCTTTGGCCCACATTCAGTACCGACGACCCAAAATCCTACTACAAGTATATTTTCTAGTTTTTTAAGGCAATTTTCTATTTTTGATAAAAAAAAATATATTATTTTTATCTTTTCTCAAGTCTGTAAAAGACAGCTTTATATTAATGTGGGATAGCTTCTGATGAAATAAAATTCTATAGTTTTGGTGGCGGACATCTTCATCTAATATTCTTCATTCTCTCTTAAGTTTTTATATCATGCTCTGGTTGTGATAACACAACCTGCAATCAGTTTGCGTCTAAAAAACCAATTTCAAAATAATAATAATAATAAAAATAATAATAATAATAAAGAAAAGAAAAGATCAAGCAAGGATCCTCCTGTGTCCGTTGTGACTTGATCAACCGTTACTATCTTCATGGTGCCTTGCAAAATGTCCATCATCTCCTGATCCGTTAGGCCCCGTTTGTCAAACGGTTAATGAAGAGGGGTTAAAGAGAAGGGTTAATGTACTTAGCCCATTTGATAATCCGAATGACTAAATTATTAACCCGTTAAATAAGTTTTATTTTAGCCCTTATGATCAGTTTTAGTGTTTGGGAATAGCAATGATTTTGACTATTTTCTTTATAATTAGAAGGGTTAACTCTTATTCCATCTAAATAGGAGTATTAGTAAACCCCTCATTTTGAGGGGTTAACTCATTTTAACCCCTCTAGAGGGGTTAACTTAACCATTCTATATTTTTTATGTTTGGCAAATTATGGAGGGTTAACTCACTTTAATCCTTATATAGATTTGTTGTGTTTGGCAGGTTAAGAAGGGGTTAAGTCTCCTTAACCCCTCACTTAACCCTTTGCCAAACAGTACCTTAATTACTAATTTACAAGTAGCAATCTAGTTAAGATTGAATCTTGATGGAAAGTTTGTTAAACTAGGAGATGAGCAGTCATTTTCCCTTGATCCTGAAATTTAACTGAATAGATAAGAAAGATGCCGCTTAATTAATGTCATATTCTTAAGAGGCTCAGGCTGCATTATTCTTTAAGATAACTTTTATCTATACATAGTAGGTGTTCATTTCAAGTCTAGGTTTTGATAGGTTTCAGTTATGATAAAACTTATGCTAGAAACAAATCCCTTCCGTAGCACATATTTCCTCTTTATTACACCTAGTTATTAAGCAAGTTGTATTTTGAACATTATAAATTGCAGATAATCCTCTCATTCACACATTCAGTTAGCACTTATGCCCCCTGAGTCCCTAACATTTTGAGCAGGATAAATTACAAATATCATCCTATTTTTCAAGAATTAAGGAATGATAAGCGCTAACAAACAAGTTGATGGTTCATATTCAGAGTGTAAAATTACAACACTCAATTTTTGAATACAATTTTCGAAGTTTGGTGTGGTGTCAGGATCTGTTGACGCGTGGTACCGTAGAAATCCAAGATTGAATCTCTGTCCTTGTAAATTTCTAAGATCTCGCCCCGTGAGTCCGGGCTTTGACTCGTAACTTCAGAATTTTGACACAATATATAGTAGATTTGACAGAGGGTGATTCTCCGCAAATTATTCTTCTAATTGTAATTACTTTAGTTAAGCATCTCCTCCTGCTTTGTGGAAGAAAACTACTCACTAGTCACCTGTGTGCCGTAATTAACTCGTCATTGGGGTTAGTGAATCATGATG